GTTCAGGAAGTCGAATCAGCTATTTATATGTTTTGGTGGCCGCACAAAGGGTTCTCCGGTCACGAAGCAGAGACTTTTCAAATGGATAATTGACGCTATTATGCTAGCATACTCTTCTTTGGGCCTTCAATGCCCCATGGGAGTAAGAGCCCACTCAACTAGAGGCGTTGCCTCTTCCTGGGCTTGGTCTAGTGGTGTGTCCTTTGCAGAAATTTGTGCGGCCAGCTGGGCCTCGCCGACCACATTTGGCAGATTCTATAGTCTGGACATCCCAGCCTTACAGGCGCGGGTCCTTTCTGCATAGCAGGGCACTCTGTCACATGACAACCAGTGCTTGGCGTTTGCCGCCTTCATGTACGCTCTTGGCCCTCAGTGAGTTCCGAGGCTGTACTGAATTATTTCGGGACGATGATACAAGGCTGGGCTGACCTCTCTGAGTTTAGCCCTACTGCCTTTTGCGGGGCTTCCCTGCAAAATACTTGGTCCCTCTGGGCCCCCTTGGGTGCTTAAAGCAAATTCAAGTATTAGTCGTTCCTCTAGCATAGCACAGCGGGATTGTACTGGTTCCCCAAGCATCTTAAACAGGCGCAGTATGAGTGAAGTATCGATAGGGAACGTACTCGGTTACTAACGTGACCTTGGTTCCCTGAGATACGGAACGAGTACTGCATACTTTAACGTGCTATGTAGCTGCACGACTCGCTCGCCGCTTCAGCCGAAGTAACCTGAGGATCCTATGGCGATGTGCTGCTTATATAGCCAGATGGCCCCGCCCATTCTGGCGGGCTTTGGCTCTTCATTTTTTATTCACTGCACGAACTAATGGCCGTGCAGTTACACTGCGTTATTGAAAGGTTTCAGTCATCGGCGAAAAAGGAGTTTTCCCCAAGCGTCTTAAACAGACGCAGTACTCGTTCCGTATCTCAGGAAACCGAGGTTACGTTAGTAACCGAGTACGTTTTTTTTTTTTTGCAGGATGGTTATATTTTTTTTCATGTTCCCTATTTTCCGACATTATGGACCCAATTTTCATATAATGAGATACTTGAGTGTGGCAGTGAATGAAATTACCTGTAGTGATTGTTTCAGGAAAATGCATGTTATGACTGAAGTGTAATATATTTGTTTTTCCTGTTTTTGATCTGCAAGTTTCCAGCTCTCACAACAACGCTGCTGTCTGGCGCATTAAAACCCAATCCTGTGAGGTTCACATGATCCTGATAATATTGGTTCAAAGCCTGAGTGTGATGTGCTCAGGTCTCCTGAGATCAGAGGAGTCAATGCCCAGAATCCAGCTGTCTGCTCTTTCATTCAGACACATGTACAGCCCTGCAGACACAAAACTCCACAACCAACAGCTGAAAAGTGAGCAGACTTTGGTGTTTTACCAACTATGTGTTTGGAAGGACTTGCAGAAAATGTCTGGTATCGCAGCTATTTGAGGAAATTGCTTTGCATCCTTTTGGAATTGATTACAAAGTTCAGAGAGGACAGCTGCCGAATGCACACCATTCTGATTCTATTGAAGAAAAATTTACCCAAAAAAGAAAATTTGCTGAAAATATACTCATGGTCAGGCCTTCCAAGATGTAGATGAGTTTGTTTCTTCATCAGATTTGGAGAAATGTAGCATTACATCACTTGCTCCGCAATGGGTCCTTGGCAGTGAATGGGTGCCGTCAGAATGAGAGTCCAAACAGCTGATAAAAACATCACAATAATCCACAAGCAATCCACACCACTCCAGTCCATCAATTAACATCTTGTGAAGTGAAAAGCTGCGTGTTTGTGAGGAACAAATCCATCATTAACACATCTTAAATTTAAACTGTTTCTTCTGGCCAACATATGAATCCATAACCCATAATAACACTTCCTCCAGTGATTAAATCCATTCTCTGTTGTCACATCACAGTTCATGACATATTTGTTTAGAACTGTTTTACACTATTTTCATTTATAAATGGTGCTTGATCTGTGCATATTTCTCTCCTCATTCAGACGAGACTACTTTTTCACTGGAGAAGGCAATATCATGGAAAAAGAACAACTTTGAAGTTAAAAACGGCTTAATTATGGATTTGTTTCTTACAAACATGCAGCTTTTTGTTTCACATAACATTAATTGATGTACTGGAGTGGTGTGGATTACTTGTGGATTATTGTGATGTTTTTATCAGCTGTTTGGACTCTCATTCTGACGGCACCCATTCAGGATCCATTGGTGAGCAAGTGATGTAATGCTACATTTATCCAAATCTGTTCTGATGAAGAAAGAAACTCATTTACTTCTTGGATGGGCTGACGGTGAGTATTTTTGGCTGAACTATTCCTTTAATTAAATCATTTGAAATAATCCACTAACAGGTTAAATTGCTGTGCTTAAACCACTTATTTAAAGACTCCCGAATTCCAGAAAACATAATCTTCATTGCATTGATAACACAGCGTGGTGCATATGGTGATGGAGATACAGCATGTGGGTGAAGCCACGCTGAACGAAGCACACAGTGAGACCTGCTCTTTTGACCACAGGTCTGTTTTTTCCATAAATAATGAGAGTTATGCACAAGAAAAATGGGTGCACCTTATCTCCTCGAAAATATAAAACGCAGATGGAGCCAGAGCAATCAGCACCCAGTGCATTTCCCATGCAGCCACACTTCTTCTGAGCAGGTCCAACAGTGCATTTCTACATCCAACGAGCACATTATTACTATCTAGGAAAAGTGCTTCATCCTCTAGGGTATGATAAATCCATTCCACCCTGGACTCCATATGCTTTTTACTGATTAGGTGAGAATATGAGGAATGTTAAGCCAGGCTCCCTCTCTTTCTTTTCCCCATTCCATTCAGGACATTCCCAAGAGTAATATTCTGATGTTTATGAGCCTAAAATGACTTCAAAGTGTCGTAGTTATTAATTTCTGTCACATTATGACTGATTTTTCCCACTGAAATCTGATTAATGAAAAACTACAAGTTTAGAAATATCACAGGAAATGTGAAACACTCACAACAAAGATTAATGCTGAAACCTCTGTGTTTGGTGTCCTATTTCTTTCATTCTCAACATAATGTATGTTTTAAATGTGTGAGAACATTATTAGCACAAGGACTTCATTTCGATAACCACAATGGCATATAGTCAACGGTAACACTTGATTAGGGAACACTATTTACTATTAACTAGTTGCTTATTAACATGCATATTACTAGCATCTTAGCTGTAATGACTTATTCTGCATGACCATATTCTAGATCCCTTAACTCTACCCAATAGGGTTATAGCATCTACCTTATTTACTATTAATAAAGTAATTACACGTTTATTGAGGGAAAACTCTTAATAGTGAATATGTTCAACTATATAATGAAGTAAGATTTTAACAGAAAGGATAAAATTTGTATTTTTTTGTAATTGTTATATATCTTAACAATTATTATATTATAAATATGAACAATTTTGTATGCATGCTATATTGTAGTGTGTATATATATATATATATATATATATATATAGTATGTGTGTGTGTGTGTGTATGTATGTATATATTGTAGATAGATAGATAGATAGATAAACACAAATTAAAATTTGTTGGATAAAACAATGGATTTATTTATTTTTGTTTTTAGATACTAGATATTTTTGTATGATACCTTGTGCTGTTTAATGACTTGTGTTTCATTGGGGCACGTTGACACAAAAAGTCAACTGTATCGTCACAATTAATATAGGTGTTTGGCAAAATAAAAATGGGGACAAAAAAAAGAGGTTGTGATTATATTTTGTCTATATTCTCTAGGTTGTATATAAGTTGTGTTCAGTAGTGTTTAGAACAAGCACTCGGTGAAAGACTTTCAGAAAGAGCAAATCATAGGAGCCCAGGCACATTTATCGTTTTAATAGGACCTCAGATGATGCAAACCCTGAAACAACATACAGAACTACCAAATTGACCAAATCGACTGTGAATTAAACAGAAAGTGAATGGCAGAGACTATTGTACTCTAAGAAGAATTGTGTCCAGACGTACCGACTTGGTACCGAAATACCGGGTCTTTTGACAACACTAGTCCAGACAACACAGAATTACTGACAGCAAACCTCAGTATTCACCTTACGGATCTGTTTCAACAAAAAACAAAGTCAACATCCATGAAAGAGCTGCAACTGTTAAAAATTGAAACAAAGAATACCAGTGCTATAATGTGAAAAAGATGGTGCCATGACAGTTGGAGCACCAAGATGAATATCTGCCCTGGCTAGACAAATCACCTGACCCGAATGTTATCACACCACTGTAGGCAGTTTTGGAGAGAAGAGTGAGAATCCGATTCCCTCCTCATCTCAACATCTCTAAAGCAGTATTCAGCTGGAGCCCATTCAAATGCTGTATGAATCTATAATCTATCTAAAAGTTGGAAGCTAAAAGCAAATGGTGGTAAAACACCTTAATAAATCCATAAATATTGCCTATTTCCCATGTGTTCACATTATTTATTCCGACCCCTATATTTCTTGTGATCTTGAAAACCGTTTGATCTAAAGGTGTCTGCTTAAATGCCTGAAATTAGTTCCCAGCATACATGATGTGAGTACTGTTAAATATCTAAGCATGCACCTAATGAAGCTGATTGAGTGAATAAGTGTGCAGTGCTAGAATAAACAAAGAAGAAACTGAAAAATTCTAAAGTTTTTATTGGTTTAATATTTTGAACAAACATATTTTTTACTTCACAGTTTTGATGACTTTACAAGAAGCACCATCCTGCATCTCTTCTTCTTCTTTGTTTAATGGCGGTTGGCAACCAACAATGAGGTGCATTACCGCTGAGTCAACTACCTCCCAGATAGTAATAATAATAATAATAGATTCTTAAATTCTGGTAATTAAGCCAGTTCTTCTCAGGTAGTTAATTAAACTTTCATTATTATGACCAATAAGTATATCTTTAATGCTAACTTCTAGAGAACTTTGATTCCTAATTTAAGAATGTTTCTCTTTCTGTGATGTACTTGTGTGATCCACTGATTCCATACTTTAGGAGGATTCTATAATAATCCTGTTTTCTATTATAATGTCAGCCTGTTACCTTCCCTATCCCAGTTACATTGGCATTCCTTTATAATATTTCGACACACTATTTCCCTTTTTTAATACTGTAAAGCTGCTTTGACACAATCTGCATTGTAAAAAGCGCTATATATACAACAACGACTTGATTTATATCCTGCAACTCCTGCAGCTCATCCAAGGAAAAGGCTCGTGACGTCGCCAGCAGCTGGAGCCGGATATCCGCCACGACCGGATAAATCCCATATTTGGGCATTCTTAGCAGGAGCAATGGCAGCTTACATTGTGTGCGAACGGCTAGCTTGACGCTGATTGTGTAGTGTAAATGATCGATTTTAAGACATTTTCAACCCATGATCGAGACGGATGAGTGGCGGATTGGAACGTATATATTTTTGAAAATGTCAAAAACCAAGTGCTAGCGACCGCTCCGTCAAACCACTACCAAGCCGAAACCACTTAGCACGGCGTTAGCATCCTCCACACCGTTTGCGTATTTTCTCGCTATTCGCAACTCCCCCGACTCTCACCCGGTATCAGCCGCTCTCCATGCCCGAGGATGAACAGCTTCTCCCTCGGCGAGTTGTGTTGGCTCTTCTGCTGCCCGCCGTGTCCGAGTCGCATCGCGGCTAAGCTGGCGTTTCTGCCGCCTGAGCCCACCTACTCCGTCCACACAGACGCGAGCGGCGCGACGAGCCTGCATCTCACCGAGCGCGCTGACTGGCAGTACTCCCAACGCGAGCTGGACGCCGTCGAGGTGCTGGTGACCCGAACCAGCCGCGGAAACCGGGTCGGCTGCATGTTCGTCCGCTGCGCGCCCGCTAGCCGCTACACGCTGCTGTTCTCTCACGGGAACGCCGTGGATCTGGGCCAGATGTGCAGCTTCTACATCGGACTCGGCTCCAGGATCAACTGCAACGTGTTCTCCTATGATTACTCGGGTTACGGGGTCAGTACCGGGAAACCTTCCGAGAAGAACCTATACGCTGATATCGAAGCGGCCTGGCAGGTGCTGAGGAACAAGTGAGTGTTTCTGAGCAGGTGCTTCTGTGTTTGAGCACCAGTACCAATTGTTCTGTGATTGTGTGGTGTTTCCATGCATATGAATTCCAGCACTACAGTTTTCGTTATAAATACATGGATGCATGCATCCTATGTCATTATATGTGACCCTGGACCAGGGCTGGACTGGGACAAAAAAAATCGGCCCAGGCATTTTTTGGTCCAGGCGGCCCACCACTATCTATATACATACATATATATACATATATATACACATACATATATATAGACACACACATATATATATACACACATATATATATATAT